GGCTCTGCCCCTGCTTCTCGATCGAAGGTGCAGGCCCTCGTGGCCTGTCCGATCCAAGCGAAAGACATTGTCAGGTGGGGAGTTTGGCTGGGGCGGTACATCTGTTAGAAGATAACGAAGGTGTCCTAAGATGAGCTCAACGAGAACAAAAATCTCGTGTGGAGCAAAAKGGCAAAAGCTCATTTGATTTTAATTTCCAGTACGAATTCAAATTGTGAGAGTGTGGATGGCAAGAGTCCAAGTGGTTAGGACACCGGTTAGAAATGTGCAATGTGGTATCAGGTTGCGGGTTCAAATCCGCTTCCTTGCGCATAGGCTGTCGTTTCGCGCTCTCATAGCGCACAGCCATCCACACATGGTTGCTGAGGGTTGGAGTCGGTGTTGGGGGGATCGAGTCCCGACTGCAGTCTGTTCCAAGGGGGGGAAGGGTTCACATTGTCGATGTGGGAATTGTCGAGTTGCGCTGATGACGCGCACGTGGGGGATTCCGTGTGGGCATAAAATAGCCGTGCACGATGTGAGGGATTGAGGGCCCTTGCAAAAAATGCGGGGTCGCGGAGGTGGAAAAAACTGCGTCGGCCTGCGGGGACCGTTACTGCCTGGGGGCTTTACCGGAAAAAATCTGAAATATCCTGAAAAAAATCAGGTCCACGTAGGGGGAAGGTAGCTAGTAGTAGGAGTAGGCTAGTCTCTCTTTGGGAGGGGGCGCCTCAAACGGGTTCTTCCATAGCAGGGATGGGCACCACAGGGATATAGGGTGCGACTGGGTGTGAGAGCTTCCCGGTACAAAATATCTGTGTGGGAACCGTGGTTTGAGTTCGGGGGTGCCCTGATGTGTTGGATGTGGCTAAGGAGCGTCAGTCATAGTCGATACTCTCCCAAAATCTCCCGGGTACTGAGAATGTGTGTTGTCTCTGAGGGTCTTAACTGGTTCAATAGGGGTGTAGGAAGGGGTTGGAACATATAATACCATTGAGGGTAGGGCCGTCTACGCAGGTCTCGCTTGTCGAGTGCAGTACTGTTACGGACTTCGCCAGGGCTCGATCCCTGGTCTATCTTTTGCTGTTTCGGCTGCATCCTGTTTTCGGCCTGGAACCCTTTTTCCAAACCCCTCCTTTGGTACCGTAGGATTTTGGACAACTAACGCCATGCTGCAATTCGGGCACCACTTTCAAGTACTGCATTTTTCAGTTCTGCCCTCGGGGCCTTTGCAGAAATGCCCCTGGTACCGTTCATGTCACCGGTACTTATACCGGCTCCCCGGACGGTACGGGGACCAGTCTCGTACCAGTTCTCTGCTGCTGTACTTGTACTCAGTTTGACTTGCCATTTCGGCATTGGGAATCCAAGAGTTCGACTTTGTGCCTTGCCATTGTGTCTGCGTCCAACCCTCAGTCCGAGTCCGTCGTGTCGAGTGAGTTAGTGTGTGTGTGTGCTCTCCCTCTCTCCCTCTCTCTCTCCTCTCCCTCGGCTCACCCTCAGCCTCACTCCCGTTACACTGGTATCGGAGTGGTTCGAACCCGCCCAACCCACCCTGCTTCAACGTCCCGACCCACCCTGCTTCGACGTCGTCACCTGGCCATCATCAACATCATCGTCGAGATCGTCGCCGCCGTGCCACGTCATCATCGTCATCATCGCGATCGTCGTCATTGTGCCCCGTCATCATCCTCATCGACGGGATCGCCGCCGTTGCGCCACGTCATCATCACCATGCCTCTCGTCCTCGTCGCTGCGCCGCACCGTCCTGGTCATCGCCGTCGCGCAGATCAGTAATCAACGACAATTTTATTTTTTTTATTTTTCTCCTTATTTTTCTTCCTCGTTTCTTTTCTTCTTCTTCTCATCGTCATTTTCTTCTTCTTCCTTTTTTTTCTTCTTCTTCTTTAAATTTTCTTCTTCTTCTTCTTCTTCTTCTTCTTCTTCTTTTTCTTCTTCTTCTTCTTCTTCTTCTTCTTCTTCT